CTGATCCTGCAAGACTTAGACATGATCATGTGCTGCATTGATAGCACTGTATCTCTGTTGCATCTAAAAAGGTATCAGCTTTCTCACAAATAATAATTGTTTGTTCTTTTTTAATCTTTTGTATTTTGGTTCTGCGTCAAAAAGGTTTGATTCAGTTTTTAGTTGATTTTAAAAAAAAAACAACTATTTTAACAATTATCTACCATTTGGAAATGCCATCTGATAAAATACATGGCCTTATAATCTACATTCGTTTACAGTATTTAAAAATTTTTAATCTACATTCGTTTCCATATTTAAAAAATGTATTATGTATTAATTACTATTCATTTCAATGCCATGTATTCTAATTTTAGTCTTGGAGTTTTAATTTAGTCTTTTGTTGTTTATTAATTGTAATGATGAAATTACGCTGCTCTGTCATTTTAAATAAAGAAGAAAAACAGGCCGTTTGGTTAGATTGTGAAAATTGTGTAAATGTCGCTTATTGGTCATTTGGCAGAGAGGTGAGTTTAATCAAAGACTATAGAATACACAAGACATGTCACTTATATAGTTTTGAATGGGACATAGTGTAACAGTCAATATGACGAATAAAGCCTCACCTACTAGTACAGGAGCCAATCATCGATTGCTATAGACTGATGTTTTTCCTGGGGAGAAGCTTGGACTAGGCGTGTGCTTTTATGACAGGTTTTATGGTCAGCAAACACACTGGAATCTCAGCCAATACTTGCGAATATATCCAAATAAAGCTTGAAATCTGTATTTTTAAACGAACCAACTACACTTGAAAACAAATGTTTGTAATCTGTATGAAACGAACACAAGATACAATGCATCCTATTAAATGCACATCACGTGACAGCAACTACTCAAATGCCCACAAACTTGTAAACAAAGTGTCATTGTCATTTCTGGAGAAAATTCGCCATCAAGACCAAGTTGTGAATTACTTAAAAAGACCAGCGTGATTTGATGTAGCATTATCCAGAGGATGATAATGTGTATATGTGCCATAAATGAGGTTGGTGTCGTGATCTTGTTCCTTTCGAATGGGCACACACATTAGCTCGGGCAACCTGAAAAAATGCAGATTTTGTTTGATTTGAACGTTTAGAAACTAAACTTATGAGACAGCAGTTGTTTCATTTTATTGGTGATTCCAAATATGTAATGTAGTCGTGAGCTTGGCAAACAGTTTTGGAGGATTCAATGTTTCCACATTCAGACAGAATGAGCACACAGCCAGAGAGTTGTTTAAAATATGTCCCCCTAGTAAAATGACATGTCCTAAAGGGACTCTGGTTTAATACAAACAACCAAAGAAATCCACAAGGAACATATAAAGTAGACTGGAAAATCACACATCAGCGAATGCTCCAACATACCAGACCAGACCAGATACTGAACACTAAGGGAACACAGGAGAAGTGTGTGATTTTGGATGCAGTAAAAGACTGGTGCTGTTTGACACTAATAAGGAAAGAAACAAAATCATAGACTACAGGAAATATTTACATGACTGTTAATATTCTTGCCATTAAAAAGTGTGACATGAAACAATATTCTCCCAAAAGTAAAAGTTCTGGTATCATTTATTCACTCTTTACTTCTTACAAACCTGTTTAAGTTTCTTTCTCCCATCGAACACAAAAACGAAGACATTTTAATATAAGCATTTTACCTACTATAGCTACTGTCTTCAAAATTTCTTCCTTATAGTTCAACAGAAGAATAAAGCTCTTAAAGGTTTATAATTACTTGACAGTGAATAAATAGAACATTCATTCATTCATTCATTCATTTTCTTGTCGGCTTAGTCCCTTTATTAATCCGCGGATGCCCTTCCAGCTGCAACCCATCTCTGGGAAACATCCACACACACATTCATACACTACGGACAATTTTAGCCAACCCAATTCACCTGTACCGCATGTCTTTGGACTGTGAGGGAAACCAGAGCACCCGGAGGAAACCCAGGCGAACGCAGGGAGAACATGCAAACTCCACACAGAACCGACCTTGAGTTCATAAACTACAAGCAGAGATTTACAAATGGTCACCAACAAACTCATTGATATTTCTCAGTTCATTATTGTATTGTATATTGCACCATGGGAAAACGGAACAGCAGAAACCGTTTTTTATTTTTTATTTTTTTCAGCTTTTAGACACTAATGAGCCTCTGAGAAAATGGACAGCTGAGACTGAACGGAACTGAACAACAGCTCAGACATGTTGTGATGTATGAGAATTAACATCAAATAATCACCAAAACACAAACCTAATCCACATGTCTTTCATCAAGAAAGCTAAAAGCTCAAAAGCATCAATACAGTAAGTTCTATTGAGAAGGAAAATACAATGCTTTTAACAGAACATAAGCCAACTAGGAGTGCAACAATAAAATGTAAAAAATAAATTATGATAACTAATATATACTGATATCTTGATATTAAAGATCCCTTATTATGTTTTTTTTTTATTTTTTTTATTACCTTTCATGCCGTGTGTATCATAACTCTAAGTGAATGAAAATATCCAGCTGAGGTTTACATCTGACAGTGCACAGTGTTTAAAAATATTGATTCCCAATTAAAAAAGTCAACTCAGAGTCAAATAAATGATTCGTCCTGTGTTTGAATTTTTTTGCCTGCTCCTATCAATGTCACCAAATATGATTATATATACCAGATCCGGTAAAAAGTGAACGTGCCCTTCCCTTCAGACACTAGCGGAGAGGGGGTAGGGGATGATCATGACACAAAGATTATGATCACTGAGAGATGGCCAGAGGAGTGAGCTCTAAGAAATAAAGGGTTGAAGTTAATTTTCACAAAACACCACAGTACAGCCAAACCAAACTTGTGCTGTGCTTGTTCTTGTCATTTTTCTGATGATTGATACAATAACCTACCCTGCAACGTGAGATTTGCTGGCCGTTTGCAACTAAAAGAAGGATAAGTGAAGACTATTAATGTATGGGACTTTGTCAAGCTTGGCCAGGGACAGACTTTATAGAATCACGACTTTTTGCCAGACCTAATAGTGTCACGCAAAGGGTTTGGAACAAATGAATCACTTAACAAATCATACTGGAGTTATTAGGATAATTAGGTAAAAATAAATGCATTTTATATGACAATAAAAGTGATTTTTGACCCTCCATGCATATCAGCCTGTTGTTGGAGACAACAAAACCAAAATAAGACCTTTTGTAATGCATGATAGAGGCTCATTAAACTTTATGAGCTTGATCACAAAAACTAAATTCAAATAAATATTTATGGACAATTGATTTTATTTTAAAACTTTACCTAAAGCAAACAAGGAAACTACAAGCATACATCTAGAACTTGAGGTCTCTGTTCATAAACTACAAGCAGAGATTTACAAATGGTCACCAACAAACTCATTGATATTTCTCAGTTCATTATTGTACTGTATATTGCACCATGGGAAAACGGAACAGCAGAAACCGTGTTTTTTTGTTTGTTTTTTTTTTCAGCTTTTAGACACTAATGAGCCTCTGAGAAAATGGACAGCTGAGACTGAACGGAACTGAACAACAGCACAGACATGTTGTGATTTATGAGAATTAACATCAAATAATCACCAAAACACAAACCTAATCCACATGTCTTTCATCAAGAAAGCTAAAAGCTCAAAAGCATCAATACAGTAAGTTCTATTGAGAAGGAAAATACAATGCTTTTAACAGAACATAAGCCAACTAGGAGTGCAACAATAAAATGTAAAAAATAAATTATGATAACTAATATATACTGATATCTTGATATTAAAGATCCCTTATTATGTTTTTTTTTTTTATTTATTACCTTTCATGCCGTGTGTATCATAACTCTAAGTGAATGAAAATATCCAGCTGAGGTTTACATCTGACAGTGCACAGTGTTTAAAAATATTGATTCCCAATTAAAAAAGTCAACTCAGAGTCAAATAAATGATTCGTCCTGTGTTTGAATTTTTTTGCCTGCTCCTATCAATGTCGCCAAATATGATTATATATACCAGATCCGGTAAAAAGTGAACGTGCCCTTCCCTTCAGACACTAGCGGAGAGGGGGTAGGGGATGATCATGACACAAAGATTATGATCACTGAGAGATGGCCAGAGGAGTGAGCTCTAAGAAATAAAGGGTTGAAGTTAATTTTCACAAAACACCACAGTACAGCCAAACCAAACTTGTGCTGTGCTTGTTCTTGTCATTTTTCTGATGATTGATACAATAACCTACCCTGCAACGTGAGATTTGCTGGCCGTTTGCAACTAAAAGAAGGATAAGTGAAGACTATTAATGTATGGGACTTTGTCAAGTTTGGCCAGGGATAGACTTTATAGAATCACGACTTTTTGCCAGACCTAATAGTGTCACGCAAAGGGTTTGGAACAAATGAATCACTTAACAAATCATACTGGAGTTATTAGGATAATTAGGTAAAAATAAATGCATTTTATATGACAATAAAAGTGATTTTTGACCCTCCATGCATATCAGCCTGTTGTTGGAGACCACAAAACCAAAATAAGACCTTCTATAATGCATGATAGAGGCTCATTAAACTTTATGAGCTTGATCACAAAAACGTAATGCAAATAAATATTTATGGACAATTGATTTTATTTTAAAACTTTACCTAAAGCAAACAAGGAAACTACAAGCATACATCTAGAACTTGAGGTCTCTGTTGGACTGTTTTTTTCAGTGAACATCCTTATAGCACATCCACACTTTGCTCTGTTACTTATCAGCAACCTGTCCTGTCTGAGGGCCAGTATGCACATGCGAGCGCAGACCCGCAACTGAAATGTATGAAGCATTTTATATATATATATATATATATATATATATATATATATATATATATATATATATATATATATATATATATATATACACACACACAATTATGACTGCATATGTTTTTGTGCATCATTAACTCCAACCTAAAGTACAAATACTATTTGTTTCTTACCTGAAAGAAGAGCAAACTGCCTGTGAAGTTGTTCAATGATGTCGACAGCCAGCAACGGCCTGATCTCCTGCTGCATAATCTCATCTGTGGAAAGAGAATAAAAAAAACAGGCATTACAATAACTGCAACAGGCAGATAAGATTTCATTCAAGATATCGATAAGATTGAAAAGTCTGATCAGTAGCTCGACCCTTCAGAAAGCCCGTCTGCTCTGCAAGGAGTTTCCCCTGTACAGCTGCTTCCTTAGAGATGACCTTTAGCCATCAACAGAGCCTCTGGTTTGTATCCGTTCATCAGGGAAGCGCTCCTTCAAACAAGCCATTCTTTTATGCCCTCGGCTTTACAAAAGAGCACTCGAGCGCTACTATTCTCTACTGATCTGCTGAGGGTCACCCTAAATCCCAAAGAAGTCTGCAAACGAACAAAAGCGTCTCTGTACATGTCCACAAAAGACTGCATTAACATTGACTTCTCTTTATCAGACTCTGTTGAGTCTTGTGAGGAAACTTGCTGTGGGCTAAAAAACAAAACTCACATTTTGGGATGCATTTAAGATGCGCTGACGTTAGAAAGTAGTGAATGTTCAATGTCCTGAAACCACTATTCAACATGTTTGACAGAGAGGATGCTGTAAACCACAGAACAACTTTGCTGACAGAGATGAACATGGTTTGAGTGTTTTTTCTTTTATTATTTTGAAGCGCACACATCCTTTTGGAGTGTGTTCTACAGGAAGAACAATGTGCGTCAAGGAGCATGTGAAAACCAGATGTTATCAGCTGGCTTTGGAGTCGCAGCCATTGACATGTACATGAATTACAATAAGAAGCCAAAAGACTTCCCAAGAGGAAAGTCACAGTGACCGGATCATACAGGACCACTCCTGCCGACGGTGGAAAACAAACACTAACACGACTTTGTTTTCATACAAATTAATAGAAAAAGCCAACAAAAACAACATTAGCCTGCATACATACATACATCCATCCATAATGCCAAATGTTGATAAACTATAAGAGTGCTATAAAGTAAATAGTAAGCTATGACATTGCCTTTTAATACAAAAACGCCGTTTTTGCTCACAAGTAAACAAAGTAAACAACAGAGCCCTGGAAAAAATGGTGACATAAATCAAAAATAATTCAACACTATTGTGTTGTTGGACTAAATGTGCTCTATGGGATGTTGTTCTGAAGATTTATACCTTTCAAAATTAACCGTGATGTACAGAAATGAATGTGTTTGTGTCTTGTTATTACAATGATACTGTACTGTATGTACTCCATATCCGAGCGTGTTCTGTACAACTTACACAAATTTCCATTGAATTTTTTTTACACAAAAGCTTTCCATTGAAAAACAACTAACTACAATGGCTGCTTTTGGGTTGTTGTCACGATCACCAGCAATTTAACCCTCATAGATCCCTGGAGAACATTCACATTCACACGGACTACAATCCTGTCTTCATATGAACTACAAGCCCTGTCATGCACCACACACACACACCTGTACCAAGTCTCCTTTGATTACACTCAGACAGCTGTAGCTACTTATGTACTGATTACACTCACATATACACGGCTCACTTTGACACTCATTGCTGAATATTGTTAGGTTAGCACCCTGTAACATTACAAAGCGTTCCCTGGTAGTTTCTACATGTTTTGGCCCTTGCTCTGTTTTATCATTTACCCTGTCTACCGCCTATTTCGATCATCTACCTGACGACTCCTCTGGATTGCCTTGTTTGTACCTGTTTGTGTCTGTTTTTGATCATTGCCTGTCTGACCATGACTCTTAATAAAACTGCATAGGAATCCTCATTCCTTTGTCACTTGACACCCTTATGATTATTTGTAAACACTGAAATGTAAAAAAAAAAAGTGCCCCAGTGTGTCCATGTCCTGATGCTAACAGGTTTGATCCTACATTACATATATGGGCACATAGGTTACGTAAAATTAACATTAAATAAAAATTTCACACATTAGTGATGCATTGTAATGTGACAAAATAAATTGTGCCATTTAGAGTAGTCAACATTTGAATTGTATCATCGCTTTTCATTAAAGTTGTCGTAAAACTATTGAACAGCACCCATTCTTGTCCTAGGACAACTTTAAAATGCATTTTTGATTCACTTATGCCGAATTCAGACTGCATAATTTTGACTCGCTGACAGGTTTGTCGCCGACACCCGTAGGCACGTAGACATAGTCAAGACGACCTGCTGCAAATCAAACCGAGCATCTGAATGGGAAAAAAAAAGGTGATTTAAGTGACTTCAAACGTAGCATGGTTGTTGGTGTCAGATGGGCTTGTCTGAGTATTTCAGAAACTGCTGATCTCCTGGGTTTTTCACACACAACCATCTAGGGTTTACAGAGAATTGTATAAAGAAAGAGAAAATATCCAGTGAGTGGCAGTTCTGTTGACGCAAATGCCAGAAGAGCATCTCTGAACACACAACATGTCCAACCTTGAGACAGATGGGCTGCAGCAGCAGAAGATCACACAGGGTGCCACTCTAGTCAGCTAAGAACAGGAAACTGAGGCTACAATTAGCACACGCTCACCAAAACTGGAGGATAGAAGACTGGAAAAATGCTGCCTGGTCTGATGACTCTCGATTTCTGCTGCGACATTTAGATGGTAGAGTTGAAATTTGGCATTAAAAATATGAAAGCATGGATCCACCCTGCCTTGTATCAATAGTTCGGGCTGTTGCTGCTGGTGGTGTAATGGTGTGGGGGATATTTTATTGGCACACTTTGGGCCCATTAGTACCAATTGAGCATTGTGTCAATGCCACAGTCTAGCTGAGTATTGTTGCTGACCATGTCCATCCCTTTATGTACTCAAATGGCCTCCACAGTCATCAGATCTCAATCTGGCAAAATCTGCAGCAACTGCATGATGCTATCATGTCAATATAGACCAAAATCTCTGATGAATATTTCCAGTGCCTTGATAAATCTATACCATGAAGGACTAAGGCAATTTTTAAGGCAAAATGGGGTCCATATATATAAATATGGTTATACGTTAAAAGTCACATAACTTATTAATGATATAAACTTCAGCAATGCATTTACATCTTGAAAAGGGCACTGAACAACAGCAAATTCTTTGTTGTTGTTTTTTAAAGCATCGTGTAGAATGAGGTTTTCATAGCAGGGCAGATGATGGTTGGCATGCCAAGAGATTAAACTCCACAGGGCAGAGAAAACTGCTGTTAGTTACAGGCTTAAGCACGCATGCAAATAAAACAAAAACAGGGTTCATGCAGACTCATGATCCACTGCCCTCTGTGCTCACTGGAACAGGCTAATGGTCAAACTAAACCACAAATCCCACTCTGACCCACACAAGTCCGGAAGGAAAGGTAGTCATGTAGAGAAAAACAGACCACAAATTCCTTGTTCTAATTTAAAGAGATGATTTTAGATGTTAAAATATTTTACATTAACAACAGCTTCATGTATGAGACAAATATTAGTAACACAGAGTTATGAAAATGAGCTGTTTTTTATCCTGTAAACTGCTAATGTCATGTGCTTCTCTTTTTTTGTGAAAAAACAAAAAGGTGGTAAATCTTCAGATGTTTATATTCATTTTTAGACAACACAATAGCCCCTTTCACACATACAGACCTTTCCGGAAAATTACCGGCAATTTTCCGGAAAGGTTGTATGTGTGAACAGGTCCTTTTTGAAAATACCGGTAAATTCGTTCTGGCTATTTTCCGGAAAGAGAAGTTGTAACATTACTGGCAATTTGCCAGAATGCTGCGCTGTGTGAACGCAGAAGGAAGATTGACGGAATAAGCGCGTGCACGTCTAGAACGTGCTGACGTGAGACGTCTGCTTTAGCCAATCACAACAGTCAGACGTATTTACGTCCGCGCGGTTTATGAGAATAAAAGCCTTTGAATATTTTTCTAGATACATTTAGCTGCTAGAAGTTAGTCAGATCACGTTTATATGTTCTTCTTAATGCCAACTGTGTAAATAATCATCGATGAGATGCTTATGATAAGCCGTTGTTTGTTTACCTTCAAGCTTTGCGTGTGCCTGTGAAACAGCCTGTGAGCCCCTGCACACGCACATATTATGAACATCTCGACATGCGAAAGAGATCCTGCGAAAGTTGTTCACAATATTGATCATCCACAGAGTTTGTAATTTAGTCAAATGTTTACAAATACAAGCGCAGCCGTTTAAAGCTCATTTGTGGTAAATGATGTCAGAATTTACCGGTATTTTGGAATGGATGTGTGAATGCTCTTTTCCGGAAAATTTCCGTAACGTCCTCGCCTGTGTGAACAGCGCTTTTTTGAATATACCAGTAAAGTCGTTCCAGAAATTTTCCGGATATTTACCGGTATCACTGTGTGAAAGGGGCTAATACTTAGTAGTAATACATCAGTGTTTAATGGAATAAACCTGATGCTCATTTACAACAAATCCCAAAAACTTACAATTTCTGACTAGTCGTGATCTTTTTATTTAGTTGTCTAAAAATTTTTTATTGATTTTTTTTTTTAATTCCTACCAGACCTTTATAAAATAAAACAAGTACTAGCATTTTACTTAAAGCCAAAAGATTCCTAGAAACTGAGCATTTTCGGGGTTTCTGCAGGTTTCACCAAGTTAAATTTAAAACATTAAGACATGTTAAGACTATTATGAATGAATGACTTATACAGGGCTAAAATGGATTTTTCTTGCATATCAAAGTTGGAAAAGATTTTCACTTAAAAAATGATTATAATTTAATACATTTAATAATACAATGATAATAATTTAATAATGAAAGAGCTAGGTCACATCAATATCCTCAGCGGTAAATAAAGAAAGAACTTTTAAACAAATGTTACTGCAAGAAAATTAATTAAATGCTATTTTTAAATAAAAAGTTAAAAGTTATATTGAGATTGCTGGTGATTGTATGGGTGTTAATGGCAAGATTGGATAGCTATACATGAACAAAGGACATTAAGACATGATAAAAAAAGGATTTAAGACCTACAACACAATATTTCAGTATAAGACTTTTTAGGGCCTAAAAACTACCTCTAG